TTTATATATATATATATATATATATATATATATATATATATATATATATATATATATATATATATGGTACCTCCACTGGTTAGTGATGTACAGTAAAATTGACAATTGAATTCAAATAATTTTCAAATATCCACAATTATATTCCACATATTCATATTATTTGGAGGACCATTGTTCTAATATAAATTAGAAAGAAAAAAAAAAGCAATATATTCTAATTGAAATAGGCTTATAGCCTATTTTTCCAAGCTTCTAAAATCAGCTTATTTTGAGAAATGTTTTTTTTTAAAATGTCTTTTACAAAAAATACTTTTGGTGAGAAGCAGCTTGTGTTTGGCTAATTAATTTGAAAAGCATCAATTGTGGCCAAACTTTCAAAAAGTACTTTTTAGTGTATTTTTCTCAAAAATACTAATCAAATAGTGCTTTTGGGGAAAATATACTTTTTTTCTGCTTTTCAAAAATTACTTGTGATTCTACTCAAAAACACTTTTTTTCTTCCAAAAGTTTGGCCAAACACTTCAACTTTGAAAAATAAAAAAAAATGCTTTTAATCTTAGAGAAGCTTGGTCAACCATATATTATTAGCCCATTTAGCAGTAAACTGGGTTAATTCGTTTGTTTGCTTATATTTGGTGTGGTGTTACTTATAAGCTTCTTCTTTTTTTTAAATTTAAATAAACTACATGTAAATTTGCAGATGATGGAGTTAAGAAAATCATAAAAAGCTTGTGCTAAGTTGAGTCCAAGATTCTTCAAAGTATGCTGAGGCTCCTAAATAATTTTCTTCCTATACTAATATTTATAGGTAATACCAATATTCCTATGAATGCAAAAGGTTGTGTTATGTCATATTGTCTAACTCTGGTTTTTATGGCATTAAATTATTCGTCCTACGCAAGCTCTTATGAAAATATATAATCACCCATCATATTTTTCGTAACCACTTCGCTTGCTTCACAGACATAATCATTTTTTTTTGTTTCCCACCCGGTCTGCGGTACCTGCATTGGAGCCGATTATACCTGAATCTGCATCGTGTAGGACCATTCGGGGGGAAGCGCTTCTTATCAAGAATTTTTCCATACCCAGGACTCAAACCCGAAATCTCTAGTTAAGGGAAGAGCAATCTTATCCGCTGCACCACATCGGTGACATAATCACCTTCAGACTTAGTTGTTGGCATTAATTTGTATATCAGACCTTTTAAGTGTAGTCCTCTGCAAAGGAAATATATTCCTAATCACATTTATAAAAGTAATACATTAACGACCATTCTTTACTAAATTTTAGGGAAAATAACTATTGTCTATACATTTGACATTACTCTTAAAGTAAAAGATATCTAAAGTGTTGAGCATTAATTCCATGAACGATAGTCATATATTATTATATAGATAGCGGAAGCGTGATGATAGTAAGGTTATTTTCTTTTTGATCTTTTGAGAAAAATGCTGATTTTAGAGGGAATCTACAGGCAGGCACATTTGGTTAATAAAATACAAAATTCAATAATATTTCAGTTGAAGCTGTAGAATCTGGCAAGTACTTTTTGTTGTAAGTTGGACATCTAGCTGCCCTTCTTGTCCAACCAAATAAATTTTAATTAAGCTATCGCTACAGTAAGTTGCAAAATATTTAATGCTTGAACCAATTGATTTTAAAGCAGATATCTATTTAGTTTTTACGGAACATGGCTTAAACTGTCCCTCCACTATATGAAATAGGACAGGTTGGCCCTCCGTTAAAAGTTGGTTTCTTGTTTGTCTTTGCCGTCTATAAATGGGCTCATAGATGTCCTTCTCCACTAACGGGAGACACGATAATCCACATGGAATTTAATGTGGCTTCTTAAAAATTTCAAATGTAATTTAAAATGCCACATGGTTTTAAAAATACCCCCACCCCTCTTGTTTCCCTACCGCTCCCCCGGCCCACCCCCAATCTTTGCTTAATATAGCCATTATGTTAAATCCAATTACCAGACCCTTTCCTTCCCCCATTTTCATCCCAAAACCTTCTCCCTCAGAAAAATTGACCTTCTTGATGTCTAATTTCTCCTACTAACTGGGTCACCTTGTCAATTGTATGCGGTCTGTTCTAGTTTCGATTTAATTCTGTCTAATCTTTCTTAGTTTGTTTTGGAAATTTCTCTAAGACAATGTCACAACGTTCGAGTAGCTCAAATGGGTCGAATAGGAGGTGTCGTTGTGGACTTGCTGCTAATTATTTTATGCGTGAACTCCTTTAAATGCTGGGAGAAGGTTTTTCAAGTGCCCGAAGCATGAGGTAAGTAATTTTGTTGATGGGTTCTTTTAATTATTCCGATTTGCTTGTAAATTCTTTTTTTTATTTTGGTTTTTAGGATGAAAAATGTTCCTATTGGGAATGAGAAAATGAAGAGCTTCCTCCTAGAGTTTCAAATCATATGCAGTTTAAAGAAGGAAAAGGAAGCTCTAATCCGTGAAAGAGATGCTCTTCAAAAAGTTGGCGATCTAGAGAATGTTATGATGCTCGTCGATCATGGAGGAATAGAAGCCTTGAAATTGGAAAGAAATGTTCTAATGAAGAAAGTGGCTGATTTAGAGTACTCAGATGTGCGTGATGCTAAATTTCAGAAGAAGATGTGGATTTTCATGTGTGTGATATTGGGATATTTTGTTCTGTTCTTTGGATCAGGGCAAAATGATATGCAATGTTAGTGTTATTGTGGCTTAATTGTTGTCTTTTATTATGTAATGAAGTTTTATATTTTTGTGCAAGGATTCAATGAAGTCATTCCCGTTCATTTGAATGTTTGTGTCTATGACTGAGTTTATTTACTATGATAATTAGTTTGATGCTCTCAAATAGGTATGTACGTAAACTGATATGGAGTTGTGAAGTGTTTGAGAAATGACTACTATAACTAGTCATTCAACAAACTTCAACATAAAAGTCATTAACAAGTAGGTGGTTAACCAACCAGATGAACCATCATTGTGGTTGGTAGCAAAAGAGTTGTTCATCAACAAAACATAAGTTTAGAACCACATAAAGCTAATGCCATCACATTAATATAGAGATCTGCAGATTTAGTCTTCACATGGGTTCTTTCCCTTTCTTCTCATCATCTTAATATTCTTTCTCCTTTGTTGTTTAAGCTGGTTTGAAGTTATTGCTGCCCTCCCCTTCCAGGTTGTCTTAGTTGGGGAATATGGCAAGTTTGTTGGTGTGCAAACTCCATTATCATCACCCATGAAAGGAATCCTCCTGTTTTTAGTTGGCCGCAACCTTTGAGACTTCCTCACTTTCAACTTGGTTAGTTTCTCAGAAATAACCTTGGGCCTTAACGGTGGATCTTCTTCATCACCAACGGAAGGATCATATGCAGTGGACTGTTGTGTTTCATCTTCACTGTTGAACATTGATTGCGCTGTCTGTTGTGTTCCAGCATCAACAACTTCATCTTCAAGTATTTCATCTTCAAGTGTATCATCTTCAGGCACTTTATCTTCAAGCACTAAACACTGTGGTGATTGGCTTTTGCTTGAAACCTTTCTCTTTTTGGTTTTGGAGATTTCTCCAGCAACCTTATCCTGCAAAATACTGAATTAGTTACTTAATTGATGTAAGAAAAAATTGAAAAAGAAATGAATCTATGTTACCTTTGGACAGCCCCTACAATTGTGGTTAATTTCACCATAATTGTTGCACTCCATGACTCTCCCTTTTTCTGATAAACTCCACAAACCTTTTCTGTTGCTTGCCTCATAAGGTTCTCTATTTCTTTTCACCTTAGGTCGAACAAATATTTTGACAATCTCTGGGGGCTCCATAGCTTGAGCAGGATCAATTTTCTAGAATTTAAGACCCTTAACAGGCTGTAACTTATGCTTATATGTCAGCATATAAGCATCTCTGCTATGCCA